AGGCAGATGCTGCTGTGGCTTTTAATGAGCCAGCCCTAATTAGGGAGCAACACTGGAGCCTAGAGAAGGTGGTTGACTAGGAAAGGAGCCAATGGTAAATAAGCTTGCTTATTTACTTCCACTGTGTGTAATGACAGCACACATTTTTAATTAGAATCCCAGGATGTGTAAAGGCAGACACACACAAGAAAAAATGCAAATCTTTACATTAGGGGTGAAGACAAACACAGGAAGGAAAGGGGAAACAAGAGTACATCACAAGACTGATTTGCTAGTGATTGCCTCAACCAGCCAGCCCTGATAAGGGTGTTTAGCAAGGCAGGGGCAGATGAGGAGAGTGGTCAGACAAGAGCATGCAGTATGAAGACACAGAGAGCTTGACCTGCAGGCTGTTAAAACTGTGAAATGAGTGGAGGCAAGGGGTGGGGCGAGCTCATGTGTATGTGACCGTCAAGTTGTTGATGTGTGCTTTCAGTCTGACTCAAGGCTGTAAGGGTGAGCATGCTTCACAGCCAACGCAATACATGAACACAACTGTAACAGACAGCTTGGGTAAATATGCAAGAATCTATGTTGGACAGTCTTTCAAATGTACAAACACATGCGCGCACGCAAACATGTGCACCCGCACGCACACACACAAGGGGTAAAGTCCACAGCTAACAATGTGTCAGAGAGATTAACCCCCCCTCCCCCCCAGCGTGTGCCTGCCACACCACCCTCGCCCGACCTGTGATCCTAGATGGCAACAACGGAAATGAAACTAACCTCAGTAAAAAGCTGCTACGAAGAAAGCCCTCCATGTCAGCGAGTGGGGTTCTGGTAGGAAAAATCACAGAGAACATCTTTTTTTTAACGGAGAAATGAGTTATAATCAGGAAGAAGAGCAACAAGAGATGGGGAAGGAGGAAAAAAGAAAAGGGGAGAATAAAGCAAAGAAAAACACATTGATCATACATCTTCCTCTTATGCACGATCTTATGTCTTTAATTAAAGCAAAAAATATGACTTGGAATCCATCCTCTTTTTTATGAACTGACATCATTAATTACATCTCTTTCCATTGAGGGATTGGATTTGCATACAACATTGGTTTGCGCTGATGATATGTTAGCATCAAATAAACCCTGCCTACTGATCTCCATGCAGCCCGTATCCACGGCTTTGTGCAGATATATGGATGTGGATCCAGCCCCTGTGACCACAGAACCCGTCTGTTCAGAGTAGCCAGCGGTGGTCCAGCTGCAGCCCATGTGTGGCGAGGCTGCTGTGGCTTCTAGGAGCTCGGCCACAAGGGACCCAAGCTGGGAATCACAGCGCCAAAGAGGCAAAAGGATGTGGTCATGATGTCACCACTTGTATAGGTCGCTCAGAAGCCGTACCCACAAAAAAAAAAAAAAANTTTTTTTTTTTGGGGCCCAAAAGGAGTTTTTTTTTTTAAAAAAAAAAAAAAAAAAAAAAAACATAATCTCACCAGGTCATTTCACTAGAGGAATTTTGTCTTCAGCTTTATCTCAGGCGTTTTGTCCCAGCTCTCTTACTTTTGCCCCCTTTGTCTGCTGGATGTCCTGGACACAGGATTCATATTCATCCATCAATAACATTTAATTAGTTATGCCAAATTCATTAACCTGTACTGCTGTTCAGCTGGCCTCGGTCATAAATTTGCTTAATGTGAGCAGACGCTTTGCAGCTGTAATAAGGGACATAAAACTTAAAGAGAAGCACACACACTGTCCCTATCTAGTCATGGATCATTCAAACTTGTGTTTTAGAACAGCAGCATTCCTATATGAGGTATTTTAACAGATTTTTCTATGAATCCCTACTATTTTTTTTTATTTATGCCTAATTTTTCAGCAATCCATTACTTATCGGGAAAAATTGTTCAACAGTAATTGTGAGTTAAGATTAATCTTGTGTTTCAAATTATTTTTTATATAGTTCAGGTTTCAGCATATGAGACATGACTGGGAAATCAAAGCAGCTTTGACAGCTTTTCTCTGCCAAGCTGGTCATTTTAAGCAGCAATAAATGCACAAAATAAAGTGCTATTGTTAAAAAAAAATAAATACTTCACTGTCCTAAGTTAACACATCGACTTTTCTGTGGTCCTCTATCCCCCAGTGGTCTCGCCTAACAACTCCCACCAAAGAGCCTATTAGACCTGAATCCCACTTTGCTGTTAAAAAGGGTCCTGTCCTTTCAGCACACTCACTGGCCTGCTTTCTGTTTTTCATGGCATAGGTGGTAGAGGAACACAAGTTCATTGTTCCCTCGCAGATGGAAGTTGGAGTTACCAGGGTAACGGCTCTAATCCTCTCCTTTTTTTTTTACCATTTCTTTCATATTAACAGTCCATCGAGAGCTACCTTTTAAGTCACAGGCAAGGAGTGCTTGCTTACCCACTTTTAATTAGCCATGACTCTGTTTGCCAGGAGACAGCATGATGAGCTAATCGAAATTTACGAAATAATGACGCACTGCGAGAGGCTACTTCTTCCTCCTGCGTCCCGCTCCAAGAATAACAATAATGAGGCCATTATGGAGGATTGCACTTTAAAAAGGCTGCGCTGCCACCAAAACAGAGGACATAATTGTTCTAGTGTTTTCCATACAATCAACAACCCATTGTGGATTGACTTCAGAACGAGCGGAGCAAAGAATGGGTGTCATAATGATTGGTCTGTGCTGCCTTCAAGATGCTGTACAAAGTGCCCAGTGAGTTAGATAGACTACTGATTTTCTTGTGGATCAAGGCAACTGTCTGGTTTTGTATGAAAAATGTCTTTTCTTCTTTTTTTTGTGTGTGTCTATTGCCATTTATTGTGAGTGTGCGTTCTCTAATGTAGCCCCCCCCCAGTCTATAACTGAGAGCCCACCCCCCCAATTCATGCGACGAGATGCGAAGAACCTCAAAACAGTCGGAGCGATTGACCACATATGCACAGCTCCGTTTGTGTTTTGCAGAGGGTCTAATAAAAGTGTCTGTGTTCCTAAAATAAAATAAAAACCAGATCGTACTCATCGGCATACGTACAATCAAAAAGTCAGCGTTGTTCAAAATCAGGCATGTCAGCTGAGCATTATCTATCATGTCAGGTTGGCTCAGTTTGAAAGCCGCATGTCTGCACTCCAAACTGACTCAATTACAGAGCAGTTTAGGCCATCTTGAAAAGGAAAAAAAAGATCAACAGCAAAAAAAATTCTTTTAAAAAAAGTTTCACATCCAATCTCGCAGGTGGAGAGCGCGCTGCGGTTGCACAAACATGGCTCTGCAGCTATTAGTTGAGCTCCATTGTAATAGGGGAGAGGAGAAAACGGGGCTTGAGGGCAGAAGGAATGCTAAGTGGGCCCCTTAGTCTAGTCAACCTTCAGTGGGTTTCATTTATCTTCATCTTGTTAGGCTAAATTAATTAACAATCTCAATGTTACACACTTTCTCCTTTCATTACATCAAATAATGGTGAAAATGTAGAGGGAGGTCCTGCCCACTGGGAGTACACTAAGACTGAAGATCTCTCTGTCTGCCCGTCTCCCTCTCTCTCTCTCTCTGTTTCTCTCTCTCTCTCTTTCAGTCATTATCTCTCTGTCTTTCTGTTCACATATCTGCGCTTAGTTCCTTCCCGTTTCTCTCTTTTGCTCACTCTCATTTTCCCTCTCGCTTTTTTGACTGCGCAAACAAGAAGCTGATAAATGCGTTGCCTAGACATATAAAAAATTGATCTAAGGCGAAATCAACAAAGAAGCTGAGGAGGACTGAGTGACAAATCGTAGACAGAAAACTTTTGGCTCAGTTCAGAGAATTTTTTAAAACCCTATTTACTAAAACCAGACACAGAAACAAAAGCTTGAGAGTTGGGCTTAAAACGAAGACTCCAACTGTTTGACTTCCAAGTGTTTGCCACAATAACTGTGCAACAGGTTTCGTGTTTATTAAAAATGAAAGTGGTTTCATTTGTAGCCACCAAAACTCATGCCAACTCAAAACCAAACTCATGACTCAACACATTAATGAAAGAAGGAGCATCTGTGATGAGGTACTGGGGCAAAAAAAGTAAAAAAAAAAAAAAAAAAACAATCCACTCTGGAGAAGATTTGTATGTGTGACACTGCTTAGAGAACTCACTTTGACCTAACTTTGTTTTTAGAATAAAGAAACTAGGATTCTTTAATGGAGAACCGTGCTTATCCACCTCTGCTTCTTTCCATTTCACCCCCTGCCTCAAAGCCCACTTCCCACTCCAGGACACAAGTCTTATCAAAGCAAAAAGGGCTAACCCTGAAGCAAAGCCTGCCTTTAATCTTGGCCCGATTGTCTGGGCCTCAATCAGTGTGCATAATATCTTTCTGCTGCTGCCTTTAATTAAAACTGACATTGACAGAAGGGTGTGCATTAGAGGTGCAATAAGGCATTGAAAAAAAAAAAAAACAACTGAAAAACCTGTCACATATAGTGGGAGAAAAGGGTAAGAAGCATTCGGTGAAGGATCTAATTTTTCTCTTTTAAAAATACCGTCTCGTGTTAACTGTTCAAAATGTACGACTCTGCTCATCTTTTTGGATGCCCATTAAAACCGGTTTCAACAGGTGCTGATAAATCCGCTTTGCAGGACTGCTACAAAAGCAGAAATGAGAAATGGTAGCGCGCATTCAAAAATTAAACAAGTTTATTTCTGAAAAACCATCAGCTACACCCCACCAAAGAAACCGGTGTCGTTTATATTGTACATTTTTCAGTTTGCATTTTACCTTTCAAGCGCGGCAACTGTAAATAAAGTTAGAATGTGATAATATAAACAATTAAAAGGTAAGTGATAAGTTGCTTTTTTTTGTCTTGTGCAACAGAATTTAGATTAAAAGGTTCATAGATTTGCATGTGTTAAAAAAAATCGTCCTTGTAAAGTCAACTCAAACAGGATGATTTTGCTAAGAGTTTATTCCCCTTTTGGTGAAATGCTAAAATAAAATAGCTTCGCCCCCCTCCCTCCTCTTTTAAGGTAATAAATGTGAGATTCCATCTGTTAGAAAAAATAAAAACAATTTCAAATAGGCAAGACATTTTCCTATTGAATTCCTGAAGGACGCTTTGATGAGCAAGTGTAATGGTATCAAATTGTCCTTTCTTTTTAAAATGCCCCCAACTGTTCTGTGGGAGAAAAAAAAATGCTGTTAATTTAATCAAATAAGTGACCTTTTGAAAAAGAAATCAAAGAGGATTCATTAGCTTTAGTAAAGTTTGGCTGACAGCAGCTTTGAAAGGCAGATGCTGCTGTGGCTTTTAATGAGCCAGCCCTAATTAGGGAGCAACACTGGAGCCTAGAGAAGGTGGTTGACTAGGAAAGGAGCCAATGGTAAATAAGCTTGCTTATTTACTTCCACTGTGTGTAATGACAGCACACATTTTTAATTAGAATCCCAGGATGTGTAAAGGCAGACACACACAAGAAAAAATGCAAATCTTTACATTAGGGGTGAAGACAAACACAGGAAGGAAAGGGGAAACAAGAGTACATCACAAGACTGATTTGCTAGTGATTGCCTCAACCAGCCAGCCCTGATAAGGGTGTTTAGCAAGGCAGGGGCAGATGAGGAGAGTGGTCAGACAAGAGCATGCAGTATGAAGACACAGAGAGCTTGACCTGCAGGCTGTTAAAACTGTGAAATGAGTGGAGGCAAGGGGTGGGGCGAGCTCATGTGTATGTGACCGTCAAGTTGTTGATGTGTGCTTTCAGTCTGACTCAAGGCTGTAAGGGTGAGCATGCTTCACAGCCAACGCAATACATGAACACAACTGTAACAGACAGCTTGGGTAAATATGCAAGAATCTATGTTGGACAGTCTTTCAAATGTACAAACACATGCGCGCACGCAAACATGTGCACCCGCACGCACACACACAAGGGGTAAAGTCCACAGCTAACAATGTGTCAGAGAGATTAACCCCCCCTCCCCCCCAGCGTGTGCCTGCCACACCACCCTCGCCCGACCTGTGATCCTAGATGGCAACAACGGAAATGAAACTAACCTCAGTAAAAAGCTGCTACGAAGAAAGCCCTCCATGTCAGCGAGTGGGGTTCTGGTAGGAAAAATCACAGAGAACATCTTTTTTTTAACGGAGAAATGAGTTATAATCAGGAAGAAGAGCAACAAGAGATGGGGAAGGAGGAAAAAAGAAAAGGGGAGAATAAAGCAAAGAAAAACACATTGATCATACATCTTCCTCTTATGCACGATCTTATGTCTTTAATTAAAGCAAAAAATATGACTTGGAATCCATCCTCTTTTTTATGAACTGACATCATTAATTACATCTCTTTCCATTGAGGGATTGGATTTGCATACAACATTGGTTTGCGCTGATGATATGTTAGCATCAAATAAACCCTGCCTACTGATCTCCATGCAGCCCGTATCCACGGCTTTGTGCAGATATATGGATGTGGATCCAGCCCCTGTGACCACAGAACCCGTCTGTTCAGAGTAGCCAGCGGTGGTCCAGCTGCAGCCCATGTGTGGCGAGGCTGCTGTGGCTTCTAGGAGCTCGGCCACAAGGGACCCAAGCTGGGAATCACAGCGCCAAAGAGGCAAAAGGATGTGGTCATGATGTCACCACTTGTATAGGTCGCTCAGAAGCCGTACCCACAAAAAAAAAAAAAAAAAAAAAAAAACCGGAGACACAACACAAAAATTGTTTTAAAACAGGTTTCCATTAGGCAATGTTATTGGTCTGTGTAATATACACTTTTTATTGTGTTAAGACTGACTGAGAATTGATTGCGACTCTCATGCATTTTGTTTAAGTGGTAGGAAAAGAGCGAGGATTGTACAGAACGATTTTGTCAGTGGAAACTTTACTGGCTGCTGAAGTTTCTTTCTCTGTTTTAATAAAATATACTGCTATTCTGATTTGAAAAAATATATATATATATCTTGGATAATGTCAATATAATATAGAGACATTTATCCTCAATGTTTATTCTCATCTTTGTCCTTTTATTCAATTTGATTTTCTTAAAGTTCAGAAGGAGTAGAGTCAATACAAAGCACGACTGTTGTGAGAACTGCTACTTTTAAAACTAATCATGAAAAAAAAAACACCAAGAAATAATCAAAGGAAACAAAAGCCCAACAACGAACAACATCTCAGCCTTTAAACACCTTAAGTTTTAGTTGCATGGGTATAATTTAGCATTTTCCATTCTTGCTTAAGTGGCTTACGAGACAAAGCCTGTGAGAAAATGGAAAGAATGAGCCAAGCCCAAGGACACTGTGCCTTTCAGCCTGGCCAGCACTTAGCGAAGCAGTGGCTCCACAAGGCCCAAAGGGCTCAGCCGAGACTTTTCTCACAATAAGGTGTCTGGGGAGGCGGGAGTGGCATAGCCAGGGGTACTTGCAGCCCTGCTCTTTTCTCCACTCTGTTGGGCCCAGAGCACATAATACCATCACCATGCCACAGCACACCGAGCCAGTGACAACGTGAGAAAACAACCGTCAAACAGAGCAGAGCAGATCAAGCGTGTCTCCTCACTTCTGGGAGTGCAAAAAGCACGCAGTGCAGGCACACACAAACCAACAACAATCATCGATGTCGATGAATTCATTCTAAACTTAATGCACGGACGAAAATATAGGTACTTAACTTCATTTGATCTTGAATGTATTAACTGTGAAGCAAACGTCACTAGGACGCTTGAATCTTACAGACCTTTCACAAGGGTTAAAGCAAGACAAATAAATTAGAGCAGACCGAGCAGAGTTTCTGTCTATAGCTCCTCATGTAGTTCATATTCTTTCTCTGTTACATTGTGCATTCATGTTTTTTTCAGCCGACCCACTATGCTGAGAAGTAACTAAATTTAGACTAAGAATGCAAAGACATGAAATTTGGAGAAAATTGCCTGATTACAGGAAATTGTGCTCAAAATCTCTTGTGTTCTAGGAAGACTTGTATCCATTAAGATTCAGCCATAACTTAAAAACAAATACACTGATGATGGGGGGACAGCTCTCACTAAGTTGGCATGGGCCAGTCCGAGCAGCTCAGCACCCGTTCAAAGAAAGAGCTTCTGCCAAGAGCTGCCTCTGCTTAACCAAGTCTCCCACCATCTGCAACAAATGTGCTCTATTAAAGCAGTACCATATGGACAACAAGCTAGCTATTAACACGGCTTCAGCACATCCCTTAACCTAGCCCAGATTTCAAACTTCCAGTCAAATTGACTGCTGATTTAATGCACCGCCAGCAGCCATGTGGGTCTTGGCACACGTCGGCACTCTCAGTCTTCAGTCATTAACGGGCTCACATAGTGCGCAGCAAACAGCGAGACACAGAAGTTAGCCGCACAGAGCGCAGCAGTTACAGCATCCCAAGGTGGTTTGTACGCTCCCTTAAATAAACCAGTATGAAAATGGTGGGCAACGCCAATATTTTTCTGAAAAGTGAGCTAAGACTAAAAGATTCAACAGCTCACAGTAGAGAAAGCAGATTAGCATCCTAGCTAATGGCTTAGAGTTTGAAGATGTGTAACAAGGAGATAAGCGTGGGGATGGATGTATACTTGGAAGTACCATGAAGACGTCTCATTCTCGTCTGAGTCACATGGTGACCTAAAGAACTTTCATGTATCCATCATCTCTTTCTTGTAATTATGATGCATCTGTTAGAAAAACTTTTCTTAAAGATAACACAGCTAATCAGTGTTTTGTGGTTCTAGACTTCATGATAGGCTATTGCATTTTTTCCCCTATATTTTTCAACTCCACCTGTCTGATGCTGATATTTTGTTTATACAATTGCATGCAATTAATTTGCAATTGGGTACATTTCCAAGAAAAATAGCATTTAACCAGGCAGTTCAAAGAGGTTATCCACCAGTATCAAGAAAGACTTTGACTGATTGAGGACCTCAGTTACACCTATGCAAATGATGGACATAGCAAAGGAATTAGCTGAAAAAAATGTGAAATATGAAATATCATGTGAATATCCTGGCCATTGTTTTGACAGTTTTGACAGCAATGTACCGTCTGTCTATACTACCAGTGTGTGCTCGCTTTTAGCTCGACTTTTGAATAGTGTTATTACATGAACAGAATAATTCAAATACATTCAGGGATGTTTTGTAGGCCAGTAAATAATTTTATTTCTCCCACCGAACTACAAAAATGGCCGAACGTGGCCCTCCAGATCGCAGAACGTGGAACGTTCTGCGATCTGGAGGGCGGTGGGTTGTGAAGTACCTCATTCGCATTTGAAGAGTCCGCCAACAAAATGAGATGCTGTCAGACGCACTTCAGAACACGGGTAAAAGAGGGGCTTGTGGAACTATAATAACGAGGAATTCAGACCAAAGCATTGCATTTCCACTTTTGACAAAACACAATTGAATGATTTAAATGTGAAAAGGAAAGATTTAAAAACAACATATATCCACTTAAAAAACAACAACAACAAAAAAACATATGCCCAAAATCTTGTTCCCTAAGAAGCTTACAAAGCCATGACATCAACATCTCATTTCCAAATTATGTCAAACTTTAGTGTATGTAAAAGCATGACTCATACGAAAGTAACATAAAGTAATTTAGGCAAGGGAAATTGTTTCAGTAATCTTAGTCGTCCTAAAAAGAGAAGCAATCTGAATTAATTTCAGACAGTGACAAGCAAACAGTAAAATCTCTGCCGATGCTAAAATAATTAGCTAAAGATCTTTGTGGTGACAGTCAACTAGATCTCTCAAAGTTCTCTTAGGTGTTATGGCTGATAAGTTACTTTTGGTTTGAGAAAAAAGAAGATGAGGATAGAAAAAGGAATTTACAAACTATTCATAAATTCCCCTTAGAAAAAAAAAGGATAGTTGGAAAAGCACAAACCAGAACACAGTGACAATATGCATCTGCACCTTTTTGTAGGATACACAAGGACACACACCTTCAGTTCCCTTAACTAATCTGAATTAGTCCAAGTGGTGCTACTGTCCCTGTACCACATCATACAAATGCACACATTGCTCACACACATACACACAAATTTCAGTCAGCGTTACCAGATGAGTAGTGAATTAATTTGTGTGAGCCACTCCAACATTAGGAAGGTGTGTTGAAAGGTGTCTGCTCATGTTTCAAATTAAACGCGCTGCTGGTCAGCATTAGCACCTCGACACCCGTCGGCAACTGACACTTAGGGAGCTGGGAGAGGGGGTGGGGGGAGGATGGGAGAAGGGAGGGGATCCCATCCCCTGTTCACACTGGAATAATTAGAACATGTCAGGAAGAATTAATTTTCTCATTTTTCAAAAGGATACACAGAAATTACCATGTTATTATATGACAGGGTCCCTGGGAGGATTGGATTAAATTTGATTTCTTGTGCAGCCCACACAACAAATTAAAGTCATAAATAAGATGGAAAGAAGCGGGCACAGAGCATATGTTTATGGCAATGAGTGAAGCCAAGGGAGCAGAAACAACCATCTTCATTTCATTTTATTTAAATCAGGCCAACACCGTGTGTCTGAATGACAGCAGTTGCTAATGGGACAATATTAGAGGTTTCTTAATATTAACACAGAGGTCTTACAACTTCAGCCGAAGAGGCATAAAATAAGAAAATGTGTGAGCTTGTACACCATTCTATTCTACACAGGTGACACTAGTAACTATGGTTATCCCATTATAAACCTTTATAAATTAACATATTTAACTGTGTTCATAATTTTGAAACAATTGTATGTTTTTTTTCCACACTTTAAAAAGAGGAGATCCTACAAAATAAAACAAAATGTTTCTAGTGTCTTTTAGTGGTTCATATGTATCAAGCCCTCTAACACGAGAAGTTACCAACACATATGGACACTGAGTTAATAAACACGGCATCAAGTCGACCTTTTGAATAAAAGTATGTCATCTGAATATGTAGATGCTTATTGGCGGCTCCAGGACAGGAATACAGTAAATATTTATTTTTGTTTTGTTTTGCTGAAGAACAACATATAGTTTATGCCGTAGCAATGATAGGTGGCTCCATCTTTGAGACAGTGGCTAAACGTTTGAGGTGTCTATGGGTATTATTTGTTAGCTTAATGTTTCTCAGATAAGAAAAGCTGTTCCTTTGCCATCGTTCTATGAGTACAAAACACCTGTTGATGATATTAAATTAATCAGTAACTACTTTCGGTAAACTTTCCTCCTGCAAGTTTAGCTGCATCTCCAACTTATGTGTTCTCACTGTCTGAGCCAGATAAAGTGTGGAGAAGTATTTTCTTCTACAATTCTCTTGTTTTCAGAAATGGAAATAAGTAGAAGCTGCAAACTTGAAAAGAATTGAAAGAGTTCTAAAAATTATGATATGTGATCTTTCACCTTTAACTGCTCCATAAATTTTATTTGTAGTTTCCTATGAGCTTCAGAATGTTTGAATGACGTATATTTAATAAAAAGTCACACACATAATGACATATTTATGAACATTTTGGCTGGATGTGCCATTGCCCAAAAAATACAATTTTGACATTGAAATCAAACTATTTAGGGTTGTTTGAGTTCATTCTTAATTTCTTGCTTTCTAGAAATAATAAAACTACAACTGAGAAAAACGAAAAGTCTGATTAAAGCAGCATTTCCAATTGGATCACAGGATTAGGATGCGATAAAGTCTGCATTGAGGAACATGTATAGATCCAAAATGTACATAGCTTTACTCTTGAGGACCAAATTATGCTTGTTAGCTCAGTATTACAATGTAGTATCTTAGCTGAGGAGGGTTTTTTTTTTTTTTCCTTTATCTCTGTAGAAATGGGCTGCCATTAGACAGTAGTGCTCCCCTGGGCACCACAAACTTTAAATAATTTGTGAATCAATTAACCGGCTACTCACAATGCAACAAGGATTTCACACTCTAGGGTTGTGGTGCATTATCAGCTGGAGAAAAGCTCATGGCTGAAATCATTAATTCATTTTACCAGACTTTTAGTTATGCATTGCTTTCTACAGCTGGTGTGAAAGAAGATTAATGGCATCTTCTCTGGTCCTCTTCTCTGACAGGAGTGAGTAGAGGGAAAAACTCTATCTCATAATAAAAAGGGTATGTAAAATACGAAGCAGGACAACAGAAAAATCCACATTGGCCTTTTACTCTTATCTTTTTTTATGCTGTTTGAATGGAAAGTGGGCATAACAACACTGCACAAAATGTAACCATCAGGTAAAGGATAGATTTTGCGAGCCGCTTCTATGGAAAAGCTCAATAAAACTGAAGTAAGTTTTACACATTTTCCACCATCGACATCTAAACAATTAATATTGACCAACTCAGCTTTGGGATTTACTGAAGTCTTCGTGGTTGATTAAATTAAAATCATTGTCATGCAATTTCTGTTTGGCATATTGACCACAATCATTGGAGGGTCAGTGGATTTGAAGAGACTCATTTGTTGGATAATAGACACAGAGAGGTCATTCACCGGTTTTTCATTTTCATTTTAGGATGAAGTGGTGTTTATTTAATTTCACTCAAAATGGCTCCCCGCATCCCACTGGTGGCCCATCAACACCGGCCCGAACAGCTGAGAGGCTTTGTGGCTGCAGCTTATTAGATAAACGGTAAATTAACAGAGTGTACATCCATTCAGGTGGTCGCAATGTACTCTCAGGTGTTTCCAGAGGAGACTGAATGAGTCCAATTAAGCATGTTACATCAGACGCACAAACTAGATTACTTCCAGTCATTTTTAAAGATTAATTAAGCCTCTAAGTCAAAATATTCAGATTCTTGATTGTATGAAAATCTAGCTAAATGTGAAAGGGGGGTGGGAGGGGTGGAACCACAGTTAATCTGCTGGGGATTCATGCCGGGTTATCTTCTGTAACAAATAATGACAGGAGACTAATAACCTTGCAAACTTTCAACATAAACACGTCAGTTCAGTGTATGTATGCTCAAACCTGATTAGCATCAGGAAACGCCTTTTTTAGCCAGCACGTGCCGGTAACATGATGTTAATAAGATGTTCAACCACGTGCTTTTTTTTTTTTTTTTTTTAATTATTATTTTTTTTTTATTTGCTTTCTGGTGTTTGCATTTTTCTCACCTGATTCTTGTTATTGTTTGGGGGTTGGAAATATTTGGCAAAAACTTTGAATAAGTAAAGGCACAGATTAAACATTGAAAACAATAGTCATTGTTATACTTATTGTCAAAAAACACTTACACAGAGATTGATCGTTTAACCTACACATATTAATTTTGCATTATCCAACTTCTTTATGTTCATAGACTGCTGTCATATCATATCATATCTTTATTCCAAACACAAAAAGTTCCATAGTAAAAAGGTAAAAAAAAAAAAAAAAAAGCAAATGAAAACAAAAATGAGATACTGCGGCTTGTCAATCATTACTTCCTCCTCCTCCAAATGTGCGGGCATGTAGCAGTCATTACTCTCTGCCAAGATGACTGTGCTTTACTGTTTTGTTGTAACACACAAATAACAAACACCATGACGTTGCTGCAGCGCGAGGAGTTTTACAGGAGCTCTACTCGGTGTGTCTTATGGACCATGAAGGGCCTGTGAGAAAACGAACATCTGAAAACCACGTGACCATGAATCAACCGTACTGGGCCCTTTACTCAGGTAATGTTTTTTTTTTTTTTTTAAACTTGAGAACTACAACTGTTATTACAATTTTAATATAATTTTAGTAATGTTAGCTGTATTGATCAAATCATCATGTCTTATTTTAGCAGCAGTACGAATGGTTTTTTACTCTTTTTTAAAATTGTATTTCTTTATTTCAAACAGACAAAAAGTAAAACAAGAAAAAACAATTTAAATTAAAACAAATTATCATGTCCAATTGACATGCAGTTTTACATGATCTGTTCTGTTTTGCTATAAACGAAAGCAAATTGTGCCCTCTATGTCCGTTTTATAAAACAAAACCACAGTATTCTTACCAAAGATTACCATACCATGCCACATCATTGCAATCTGTATCAATAAACTGTTCTGTTAATCGTTTATTGTGCAGTGCTGTTAATATAGTTTACCTTGTGAAATGTCCTGTTTGTATTTAAATCCATTGCTTGTTAAACCTAGCCTGACTGACAGATGACTGAGTGCTAGAAACAGGTCTGTGGTTGACAGGTGTGCTCTCCTGTGAGCAGGAGGCATTGTGTGATGAGAAATAGCATGATCAAACAATGGTAAATGGCCATGAACTTTGAATTCAGACAGACATTTCAAAAGCTGTTATTGAGGAGCTTCCCAGCCACAATATTATGATTCCCGTGGCAACTCCAATGACATTTATAAGAGAAGAATAATATCAACTAAGTTCCTGACTTTTATTTGTTTAATATCGTGGATAGATTTTCATTAGAAAACCTGCACTGCCTGCAGCTGCAAAAAGAGGGTTAACGTAATATTCGTGCAGAGAGGATCCAGGCGTATTTAACACTGCTTTAAAGTACATCTGATTTCACGGCAATAATATTGCTACGTCTCTTTAGATGTTTAAAGTAAAGCTTCCAAAGATAAATTTCGATGCACAATTCCAACAAAAATAGGCTGATATTTGGGGAAAAGGGTCTGTCAGCACTGTTGTTCCTGAAACTGTTTAATTGTGCATACAATGTGAGTCTATCTAATTGTCCACCTCATTTAATGCAGGTGTTCGGTGTGGGTGACAGGCAGCGGGGGGGTGTGAGACGTGGCAAGACAGAGACAGCTGAAGAGGCAAAGTGATACTTACAAAAACTGAAAGACTCAATCCCCAGCTTCCAGCGATCACTGGTTGGTTGACTTTGAACTCATGTAAAAAACCTGCAGAGTAACAGAGAAAAAGACCATTTTATGCCACATTCTTCGAGTGTAGTTTCATTTGACTAAAATTAACATCAAATTAAAAAAGTAGCTATAATCGTTTCAGTTTGCAAAATAAGCAAGTGGGATCACAAACTCTTGACTGTGGGACAGATGAGCTAAAACAGCCGTAGTGCCTCTCGGTCCTCATAGTTGTCGATAATATAAGTCTGCTCTGCAGTCTCTCCTCAGCTACCTCATTAATCTACCTTCCCATCTGCAGATTTCACTAATAAATAGCTTGCATAATAAACCAGTTGTTTTATTTCACTTTTCCATCTTCCATCCAGCACCGACACCGAGTGATTTATTTGGAGGCCATGCTCTGCTAGTTCAAGTGTGTCTCTTAAAGAGCCTGTAACTCTGTTAGGGAGCTTACAAAGCAACATGAAGCTCCAGGCCAGAGTACACTCACTCCACCTGAGCCATCTTTTCTTTTCTGCACACCGTTGAAACTATGTAAGAATTGTAACTGATCATTTTTTGTTAAAAAATGACAACTGTGTAAAAAACACTGTCAATGTGGTCTTTCAAATTATACGAGTCCTAAAAGATATTTCTGTTTATTTATATAGCACTAATTCACCATTGCTGCTGCCATCTCTTAGGACTTTAAAGGACAAATGAGCTCAATTTATATCCAGATATAAATATTCAAGGTAACCCAATACAATCCAACCATACAGGCAGATTCAAATGAAATTACATACATTACATAATTCCTTGGTTACTTAATTAGGGAAGCACAGCTAATTGCCTAGAGTCATTGACTTTGCACCAATTCCTTCTCCAGACTCCAGACCGGTACGTGGTGGGAGTGGACAGTTAATCACATTGATAAATTAATGTTGCAGCAATCGCTTATCCTCAGTAAACACGCAGCAACGGTGGAAAGAACTGATTTCCTGTTTACCAGGAAGAAAACTCCAAGCGAAGTGGGCAAAATTCAAAACACCTTAAACTGAACAATTTTCTATCCACAAGTTTCAGTGCTATGATAATATACACCCACTCTACACTTTCACTAGACAACCGTCTTAAGTTTATCTCAGTTTTCTCAGTCAAAAACTGTGTTGCTGCATTAAGGCTTTAAATGAAGTGGAGGCAGTCACATCTCACATCTGGCTAGAATTATTGTAACTCGCGCTGTCTTTTGCTCCCCGATATAGACCACTGGTATCAAACAGTCACTGCCTGAGAGTTCAATACTGGCCTTTTCATTCTTACAAAGTGCCTACAATTCCCAAACCAACTCATTGTCATGAGTATGTGCATTTTATCCATCTATCCGTTATCCTACATGCTTATCCCTAGTGGGGTTGCGAGGGGTGCCTGTGGGGCGAGAGGCAGGGTACCACCTGGACAGGTCGCCAGTCCGTCGCAGGGAATGTACGTCTCAGGGTTTTTGACATTTTGTTGTTAAGAAAAAGGTGGCATTTAGAAGAATTTACCTCAGAACAACTGGGAAGAATTGACAACACAGAAATACCAAGTTCTCAGACCAGGAGGTAGAAAAGCTCCAGGCTTGTTTGTGTTCATTTTCACATATTATCTTGTTTTTCACAATAAGCCTGGATCTCATTACCAGCCAATTTATACAATTAGTCTGCTTCTACACTGCCAATTAAACAAGGCCAAGGGTTTTTTGAGGTCATGCTTAACTGATCTGTCACTAATTTGCAGCGCAGCCCCTCAGTCTTCCATTGCCGGGGCCAATAAGCCACCATCAACAAGGCTGGATAAATATATAGAACGGCCGAAGCATTGTTGTCGGAGCACAGCAGAATCTGCTGCGGGGGAGGCTGGAGGGCGAGCTGAGTGAGACGGGCCTGAATGTGGCAGCCTTGAGGCTATAGAAGTGACAATGGGAGTGAGGGGACCCCTGTGACCTCAGCTGAATGGAAAGCCGCTCCATACAGCGGCACATTGCTTCCACCACAAAAAAAACAACATTTTTTTTTTTTTATCCTTGAAAGATTGTTTACACATTTTTACAAGATATTCTTCACTTTATTGTCATAGATATTATCGTAGAAAGTTCATTTCCAAAGCAAAATGTTAATGAAAAAAAAAACAACAACAAAAACTGATAAGCACAGCTGTAGGTCTTGTTTATTTAATGCAACAGGAACTCAGGTATAAAAGAAGCAGCCTCACTGGCAACCTGAATAGTTTTCCTCTATTTCACCGTTCCCAACCAGCACCAGATGCAACAACCCATTCCTGTCTTTACAAATACGTGTAATTTACTCTTAATAGCCATTAGTGCACACCAACAGTGCCAGCCTGTGGGATAAAGGACATATTCCATAGATGGCAACTCAGTAAACCCTTTTGTCTATTTAACTGAGAGCTCTTGTAATCACAGAGAGTGCTAATAACAACAAACCTTTCAAATAATGATTTGATGTTAATTGAGAACAAAGAGATAAATAAGACATGGAGTGCTGCATTATTTATTCACTGGTTATTATAGTTAATTTTTTTTTTTTTTTTTTTTTTTGGAGTGGGGAAAATCACAAAAGAATTTATAATTGCAAATAATGAGCAAAGCCAGATGATATTATAATGAAGCAAATGCAGGAATCCCTGGTGTTTAGTAGTCAGTGTCAACTGGCCTGTTGCAGCAGCATCATGCAGGAGCCTTTTTTTATATCCCACCTCAGGCTCAGAAACGTTAAACAAGCTCTCTTTATTACCAATTATAGCATCAGTGCTTTTTT